TTAATTATATAATATTTATATTTTAAATACTAATTATTTTTTTTAATTATGTATTTTAAAACTAAAGAGAATAAAGAGAAAATAAGAAAAATGTAGGGGAGAGAAAGAAGAGAGATGTATGTGTTAATAGAGCATTGGGGAGTGTGTTGGTTTGATTTTCTGTATTGGGAACTTTGCAGAGAATACAATATTTTTGATTAGGAAAAAATATTTGAGTATTAATTTTAAACCATCGGATCAAAATTGATAAAAATTAGATCAATCTTAACTGTTGTTGTACTTTTATAAGTTGATAATTTAACTTTATAACTGTAATACTAGATAGACTAAAAATAACTCGTGCTTGAAAAGGCTGCAATATTTTTAACCATTGCATCATTTTAAGAACATTAAAAACTGAAAACTGAATCAAGTTACTGAAAAACTCAAATGCAATTATGTATTGTTGAAAAATTGTAGTCATGGGCAAATTATATTCAAATTACAATAGCGCGCTAGCTTTTTTTTTTGTAGGTTGCACCGCCGACGAAATAAGGGGACTCTATCACCATCTTATGAATCTACAATTTTTTTTTACAAGCAAATGTCTATCCAAATTTAAAGAATTCGTCAAAGATTCTTAAGGGGTTGATTGGTTGCAGTATTAAAGGGTGTATTAAGGAGTCATAATAAATTAAAACTCTTTAATTTAATATTATACTTCATCTGGTTGTAAAAAATATTTTGTATTATATATAATCTTATTTTAAATGTTTATCGAAATAATACACTTTATCCGTATTATTAAGCCGATTACAATACCATCTCTGTGGAGGTGGTTGTGTAGTTTAAGAGTATTAAATTATAAATTTACTATTTTACCCACAAAATAAACAAAAACATTAATAACTATATAAAATTGTGGGTTTATTTCAATGTGTAATTAAGATTCTATTATCCCACCATTATTCAATGTCTTACCAAACACTAAATTACAATGAGTATTAACTTTTTCTATATTTAATCTTGTGTTTTATTCGTTTATGCGGAATTAGTCTGTATTAATTAATACATTTTTTTTTTATTATACGACAACCAAACAAATTCTAAGACTAATAAAAAAAGAAAAATAGAAATTAACAAGTACCCAACTAGACTCACACATTTACATTAATTGCACACTAAAACATCAAGGAATGTAAATGGAATTATTGTTGATGTTTGTCGATCAATATACAAAGAAAACAATATTTGATTTTGGACATTAAAGTGAGGATGTTTAGTTTGGAAAGGTGAATGCAAGATTGGAACTTGTATGGTCCCTCCAAGTAATGTTAATCATGGGATTTGACCNAAAATAAGGGGCCTCTATCACGATCTTATGAATCTACAATTTTTTTTTACAAACAAGTGTCTATCCAAATTTAAAGAATTCATCAAAGATTCTAAAGGGGTTGATTGGTTGCAGTATTAAAGGGTGTATTAAGGAGTCATAATAAATTAAAACTCTTTAATTTAATATTATACTTCATCTGGTTGTAAAAAATATTTTGTATTATATATAATCTTATTTTAAATGTTTATCGAAATAATACACTTTATCCGTATTATTAAGCCGATTACAATACCATCTTTGTGGAGGTGGTTGTGTAGTTTAAGAGTATTAAATTATAAATTTACTATTTTACCCACAAAATAAACAAAAACATTAATAACTATATAAAATTGTGGGTTTATTTCAATGTGTAATTAAGATTCTATTATCCCACCATTATTCAATGTCTTACCAAACACTAAATTACAATGAGTATTAACTTTTTCTATATTTAATCTTGTGTTTTATTCGTTTATGCGGAATTAGTCTGTATTAATTAATACATTTTTTTTTAATTATACGACAACCAAACAAATTCTAAGACTAATAAAAAAAGAAAAATAGAAATTAACAAGTACCCAACTAGACTCACACATTTACATTAATTGCACACTAAAACATCAAGGAATGTAAATGGAATTATTGTTGATGTTTGTCGATCAATATACAAAGAAAACAATATTTGATTTTGGACATTAAAGTGAGGATGTTTAGTTTGGAAAGGTGAATGCAAGATTGGAACTTGTATGGTCCCTCCAAGTAATGTTAATCATGGGATTTGACCTAAATGAGTTCCATCAATCTAGTCCTTCTAAATTGAATTAATTATTTAGAGCATTCATGATAATAATAATTTCTTTATATACTCACGTGATTTGACGTATCTTTTCCTACTTATTTATCTTAGAAATAAAAGATTAATAGAGAAAATAGGGAGTGATTTTTGAAATTTATTTATCTTTTATCATTATTTTAAACTTATTTTGTATTGTTGTTATATAAAAGTGCATGTAAAATTTACGCATTTTGTAAATTAATCTCGAGGATTTCGGGTCCATGACTGATTCGTTTTTTCTTGTACGATGAATACCCAGGCTAGATTTCATGTTATTATCTTTTTGGGGTGATTACATTTTTAGTCTCTAAAGTATGTAATTTTTATTAATTTAGTTCTCATTGTATCAATATTATAAATTTAATCCTTAAAATATACAATTCGTGTCATTTTGGTCCCTACATAAAAAGACCGTTAAATTTTTTTGACGAAAATAATCACGTGTCATTTTTTT